TCAGTGGTTGAGCATCGACCAGGAGGTCACAGTTCAGTTCGCGATTCCCCATGGGGCACATGCCGCGGTTGCAGGCTCCATCCCCAGTGCGGGGTGTGCAGGAGGCGGCTGATCAATGATTCTCTCTCATCACTGATGTTTCTATCTCTCCCTCTCCCTCTCTCTCTGAAATCAATAAAAATATAGTTAAAAAAAATAAGAAAGACAGCTATTTCAGTCACAAGGTCCCTGAGATTGTAGGGAAGGGAACACAGATGATGGTAAGTGTCAAAGAATTCTGAAGTCATGTTTGAAACACCCGAGGAGCACACGCAGGTCCCTAGACTGTCACAACGCTCCCTCCTGCCACAATGCCTCCTGCGTGTTCCTCTGCCTCTCCCAGCGCCGGACACAGCCGGTCAACTCCTTCAGACCTTGGCTAAACCTAGTTACCTGCGCGGACCATGTCACTACCCTCCAGGCTGAGACAGGCCTCTCTATTCTGTCTCTCAGAACACAACGTCAGGGGTCGCTCTCTCACAGAACTTACAGATCTGAAACTTTACATTTACCTGTGTAGGTACTGGTTGCCCCTCACCAAAATTTAAGTTCTGTGAGGTCAGGGACTGAGTCTGTCTCCTTCCCTGCTGTTTCCCCAGCACCTAGCACAAAATAAGCCATGAATGAATGCGTGAATGAATGAATCCAGGGCACATAATGACTCCTCCTCCAACATGGAAAAACTGAGCTCCTCATCGTGAACCATTCATTGTACGCTCACATGCACGCACATCTGCGCTGCCCTCGCAATCATCCTTTGTACAGGAAGCGTGTGCACTGAGAAGTGTGAACCTGCTGAAAGCCACCTATTCGGTGACCGGCGGAACCCCAAATCGTCTCCCCGTTTCTCAGACGTGGAAACTTGATTGAAGAGATGCCGGCATGGCCGAACGCTCTGAGAAAGGAAGCGGGGCTGGGGGCGGGGCAGGTCCGGCGTCCGAACAGCAGCCTCCGCAAGGTAGCCGCCGCCGGCCT